GAGAGAAATGGCTGGGGCCAGCCCAGCCGGGGAAACCGAGCTTCCTCCCTCACCCGGCAAATGCAAGGAGAAGATGGGGAATTACCAGCCCTCCGTGCCCGGGAAGGGCCGGATCGGGGGCGAAATAACCCCAAATCGCGGCCCCTGCGATGTGCCAGGGGCTGTCCCCACCACCCGCCTCCCTCGCTTTGTTTTGCGGCCGTTTTGCCGGAGGAGACCAAACGCCGGGGCTAAGCAGCGCGCTAAGCTTTTTTCCCCCAGCAGAAGGATTTTATATTATACAATTTGACATTGATCTTTAAATCGCCTGAGCTGTGCTTTTTTTGTCCGCTCGGTCTCATCGCCTTGGCTTCCCTGTCCTCAGAGAGATGCCTCCCCGGTAAGCTGATTGCTCGGCCCCGTTCGCGCAGCGGGCGAGGGCTGGCAGCGGCGGCGCCGGGCAGAGCTGACCCGCAGCCGCCCCCGCTCCCCTGCCCGGGCACGGAGGAGGGGGCTCAGGGCCATCTCAGACAGATCGGGGAGGCAGATTCCCGCCTCGGCAGTGGCTTTTCCCCCTCCGCCTAACTTTGCTTTTAAAGCTTGAAAACCCTTGGCACCGCCGATGTCTAAACCCGCGTTTCATCCCCAGCGCAAGTGCCTTGGTTTGCCGCACAGGCCGGCACAGGGACGGGGCAGGCAGCAGGTATTTATTAGCTGGTTTTTAAGCCCATTTACGAACAGCTCTTGCCCTGGCGGGGTGTGATTCAGGCTGTCGGGAGAGGCGAATGGCTTTGGCGAGTGCGGGAGCAGCGGGGCCAGCGCGGAGTTTCCAGCTCCTTTTGGGGGGCACCCACCTCGCACCCCAATCCTGCGCCGGGTTCGCTGCCTCTTAAACCCCCCCGGCTTTGTCCCCGGCAGAGCCCCGCAAGAAGAGCCCGGCTTTGCTGCCCAAAGCAAGGCAGCGAGGGGGGCTTTGCCCTCGGTTTGGGGCTGGGGGGTCCTGGCGGGCAGAGCTTCCCACCCCCCAGGGTTTTTTTGGGCGAAGGAAAAGCGGTTTTCGCCCTCAAAACGGAATCGGCTGAAATACACCCGTGTTCCTTCTGCCTTGCCCCGGGAGTCGGTGAAGGGGATTGCAATTTCTCCGCTGGCTTCTGCGGGCAGAGCAGCCAGCGCTTGCGGGGGGGAATTAAACCTCTCGAACAGCCATACAGAGAGGTGGGGAATTAGATGAACACATACCCTCCGCCTCTGATAAGGCGGAATTTCTTTCTAACTAAAAAAGATGGAATTTGGACAATAGGCAGCAGCGTGAATATTATGTATTTGGACAAAGGGTTTGCGTGGTGTAAAGGCTGCCGGATCTCCCGAGTGGGCTTCGGGTGCCGCGGGTGCTCCGTGCCCCCGGCCGCCGGGAGGGCACAGACCGACCCCTTCCGAAAGAGCGGCCGGGGAGGGGAGCGGAGCAGGGCCCCACCCGAGAGGGGCAGCCCGGGCCTTGCTCGGTGCGGGAGGATGAGGAGGGCCGAGCATCGCCCGGCCCCGCTTCTTCACCGCCGCAGCTCCGCC